GGAGAGAGGGAGGGAAGGAAAAAGGAAGGAAGAAAAGGGAGAAAGAAAAAGTAAGTAAGTGCTGGCACTGGTGGCTCACACCTGTAATCCTAGCTACACAGGAGACAGAGATCAGGAGGATTGTGGCTCCAAGCCAGCCTGGGCAAATAGTTAGTGAGGGCCTATCTCGGAAAAACCCATCACAAAAAAGGGCTGGTGGAGTGGCTCAAGGTGTAGGCCTTGAGTTTAAGCCCCAGTACCACATACAAAAAAAAGTAAGTTCAGGGATGCAGGAGTGCAGTTTCTTCCTATCTTAACCACCTTCTCCTGCACCCCTTCCATCTGCCTTCCTCCTTTGCATATGCTTAGAGTCCAGTGACCTCTACAGACACAGCCTAATTCTGACAGAATCTAAAACTAAGGACACTCCAGACATCTAGGCATCTACTACTATCTTGAAAGGGTGGCTCTTCTGTGGTGTATAAAGACCAAGCCTATTACTTCTAGAGCCTGGGATTCTCACAGAGGGGCAGGGAGTACTCCGAAATGCCACAGCAGCCTTCCCAAGCTCCATGAAACCCACCTCCAGAGTTTCCAACTAGCCCATGGTTAAGAGTCCTTCCTGCTGTGTGTGTATATGGGGTGGGGATGGGGGGGTGAGGGAGGGTTGAACCATTCTGGTGAGGGCAGTCATCACCAAATGCCCACCCAATTCTAAGATGCTCAATGTTTTATTTCCCTAGAAAATTTTTCAACCTGAAGGTCTGCTACTTAGAAAATGAATTCTCATCTTCCTAACACTGCCAATCATCAGAGTATTAAACCTGTGTTTCAGAATTGAATACTATAGTTCAAAATACTTATACTTTAAGAGATAGGGTGCAGCTCAGTGTTACAGCATTCACCTAGCATGTCAAAATACTTCTCACCACCTCAAAATTCTATAGTTGGAAACCTTGGATAATTAACCATAAAGAAGCACATTACTGTACTTTCACCAGCAACATAAGAAACACCAGTGCTGGTGGTGTGGCTCAAATGGCAGAGCACTAGGCCCTGAGTTCAAACCCCAGTCCCATTAAATAAATGAATGAAAGAGAAAAGAAAGGTGCGCTAACTGGATCCAGAGCATAAAGCAAATGGCACAAGCTGGTATCTGTCTTTACAGTGACTTAGAGAGCAACATGGTTTATAATTAAGTAGTGTAAGACACAGGACTGTCCTGTTCTACAAAGAGCTTCTTTAACAACAGGCCTGTTTTTTGAGAGCAGTCCTCAGTTCAGCTCAATTCACAGTTGCTATAGACAATTACCCTGGGATGCTTTCCAATCCATCCACTTCATTTAAAGGGGTTGCTTTTATCTGTCAACCTGATAGAAAGCTAAGGGTTTTCAAGACTAGTGAGTGCAACTCCCCCAAAATACTTGAAAACAACAACTTACTAAAACAAAGCAAGTAATGATGCCAATAAGCAAGCCTTTATTAACTCCCTGTGGGCAAGCAGCCTTGTCTGCCAAGAATGGAGCTGGGGAAGCACAGATTTTGTCAGTTCTCAACTCTCCACTCAGATGAATTGGTTGGCAGAATACCTAAAGAGGTTGGGTCATGCCAGCTCTGCTGTGCCCAAGCAGACTGTTGGGATTCCTCCCTCACATCATGGAAAACAGAACATGTCTGGGGAGCACTACTGTAATATCAGCACCAACAAACAGGCAAGCATGCCTGGGCACATCATCTAAAGTGCCTCAAAGCCCAGACTTCTGGCCTATCTGCTTGGAAGTCTCTGAGACAATGAACCCTCATTAGTAATATGACTGGGGAGTTACAAACTAGTAAACCCAGAAATCAACTTCATGGGATATACTGTGACATCCAGAAGAAAGAATAGAATGCAGTTCCCACCTCTACAGGTAAGGGTTTAAAAAGGTTTTTCTACTCAGCAGCAAAACAATGAGCACCTCAGCTCTGGAACTGCAAAAGGCTACACCAGTAACAAAAAACTAACGTTACATATCTGCTTAGACTTTAAAAAAATAACAAGGCCAATTAACTTATTCTGTCAAAGTCACTTGGTGGGGAATCTAAGCAAACACTGAAACCCTTGTAAACATGTTCTTCCTTTTTTGTCTCCTCCTAACATCATGAGGCCCAGAGTCCTGGTTCTCCACTGAGAGGCAGTCACCACGTACACACCTGCTTAGGAACACTGCCACTTTCTCCATCTCCTCAGCCACATGGCCCTTGATGCTACTATCTATGCTTTAGTGACAGGTCTTTCCCCTGACAAGGTTAACTGAGTTGTCCCTGCTGTGAGCTGTTCAACTTACTGAGGTGTACAACCAGAGCTATACTCTAGGTCTATATGCAAGTATGCTTTGGCTTACATTCTTTCCAACAAAAGTGGAGGAAAACAACCATACAACCAACCAACCCACCCACCCATCCACTGACCAAAAAATTAACTGCATGTTATGAAGAGTCTGGCTAGCCCCAAATCCTCTCGCTCCCACAAGAGCAGCAGAGCAGATGATCTCACAGAACCACAGAGCCTATCATGGGCTCAGAAGCAGGCCATGACTGCATTTTCCCTTAGAGAAGAGGCTGAGCTGGCACTTTACCTTTTATAGAAATGGAAGCGCTCCGTGAGGAGCATAAACTGCTTCTCTCCTTGAAGGAAGAAGTGTCTGGCTCTGGAGACACCAGACTTCTGGGTGTACTCGCAGATGTGTGTGAAGTTCAGTTCCTCCTTCTTGAAGTAATTTCGGAGACGCACAAAGTCAAAGTATGAGGGAACATAGATGAGTGTGTGGGACATGACGGCATCACGGTACTGAGGCAAAATCTTGTTTATGAAAAAGTTAAACCTGATTTCAAAAGACAAAGGACAAAGTTAATCGTTTAGAGTTGAGCCTATCATGTCCACTAACTGTGTGACCCTAGGCAGGTCATAATCATGTTAAGAGATTACCTTCATGTGGGCTGGGGTCCTGGCTCAAGTGGTAGAGCACCTGCCTAGCAAGCATGAGGCCCTGAGTTCAAACCCCAGTACCACAAAAAGAAAAGGAAAAAAGAAAAGAGAGAGACATTACTTACCCCCAAATTAATACTATTTACCTCCTCCCAAAGAGGCTATGTAAGGATAAAACTTGATAAGCACCTGAAGAAATTAAGTGCTAGTACTATTCATTGTTAAAAAAAGAAAAAAATAGGCCTAATGCCATTATATACTAGAGTTATTCTACAAAGTATATACATACCATTCATTCAATCAGTCAACAATCACAGAACATCTACTATATGCCAAGCACCATTAAGCTGTCACAGGATCCTCTAACTACACAATAAGGAACATGGAGGAATTAGTAAAAGAGCCTTGCTCCGAATGACTTAGAATTGAGTTGTCGACATGGAACACTTTGTAGCACAAAGCAGCCTAATGTGATTTACAACTGCCAGTCAAGGAGGAAGGAGCACTGATCTATATACCAACCCTATCACTAACGAGCTGAGACCTAGGCCAACTCACAATTCCTCTCTGTGCTTCAGTTTCCTCCTCTGTCAAATGGCATGTTTGAGTTCAGTTACCTGATCTAATTTGGTAAACAGTAATCAATAAAAGCAACATGGAGTCCAATTCTGAGTTTGGATGCCAAGGTCAAACCTCTCTATGAGGTCTGAGGGGCCCAATAGGGGGTAAGGGTGAGTTACCTGGCATCGATCACTGAAGCTAGGTTTTCAGCTTCCATCCTCTGGAAGACATGTGGGAGCTGCACCAACACGTGGCTGATGGAGCCTGTCATTGGGACATTCCTCACAGCAACCTGCCAGGAGACAATGAGAACTTTAGGAAGCTGCATCCCCTTGTCAAAACCCTATTTTCTCATGACCCAAACAGCAATCAATGCTTCCAGAAGACCCAGAGGAAACAAGGAAGAACCCACCTGGCCTTGTAAATTGATGCAGTACTTGTTGAATACGGAGTTGATCTGGGCATCCTGCAAGGCCCCAAACAACAGTGTCTGGCGATAGTACTTGGACCAATTATTGAGGCTCCACATCCGCACTCGAGAAAAGTCTACTCCATGTGAGTCCAAGGGCAGTAGGTTCACGTGGTTCATCAAATGCTTCAAGCAAAAACAGCACTACCATCAATGTGTATTGTGTATTTGCATTTTGGGCACTGCTAAGCATTTTACAGGTCTATCAGCCCCTTTAACCTCATCCCACATGTATTATCATCTCCCACACTACAGCAGGAAAACCGAGGCTCAGACGGGTGCGTGACTTGCTCATGGTCAGCTGAACAGCCCCAGAAAGATAAGCTGAAACTGGCTACCTCCTGGATCTTTAAAAAAAAAGAACAAAATGGTACCAGTTGGAGTATTCCTTTAAAAGGAACTTCTAAAAATGATACCATCCTGCTCACTCTATGGGCCCCTCAGCCCCAGACTCCAACAAAAAGAGAAATAACATAGAAAACAGCTATTTTCTGATTCTGAAAACACTAATAACCCAGAGTCACTATACCTTCTTTCCTGAAATTATGACGATGACAATCATCAACATGTCTTTTCCATTTTAATTACATTTTCACCTGGTACTATCCACTGAAGGGTCATGCATACTCAACGTGTATTCCTGATTGTATAAATAGGTACTCCCTTTATGTGTCTCAAACATCCTTCAAGCTCTAAGTACAGGGGATATAGTAGAGGTGAATTCCCATCTGCCTTGGGAAAAATAAACCTACAGTTCTGTGATAAGGATATTTCAAAGCAGTTTTTCTTTTCTTTTTTTTGTGGTACTGAGGTTTGAACTCAGGGCCTTCACCTTGAGCCACTCCACAAGCCCTTTCTTGTGCTGGGTTTTTCAAGCTAGGATCTTGTGGAACTATCTGCTTGGGCTGGCTTTGAACTGCGATCCTCCTGATCTCAGTCTCCCGAGTAGCCAGGATTACAGATGTGATCCACGGTGCCTGGCAAAGCAGTTCTTCAATATTAAAATCAACACCACTGTATGTGGAGAGGGAAGAAGAACTATAGCACAAATATAGTAGGAGGACAAAGACTTCCACCTTAAGAAATTTTAGGCAAAGTTTTCCCATCTCCACTGAAGACCAAACAGATGGGAATGAACATAAATCATATAAGAAACTGTTAAAGATGTTCCTGGTGAGAATTTTCATGCACCCATCCATCCACTCATTCTTCCACCAACCCAACACTCCATCCATCCATCCATCTGTCCATCCAAAAAAACCATTAAGAGGAAAAATCTTTTCTGGAAATTTGAAAACACTGACGAGAATTTTTACCACTTGGGAAAGTTTAATCATTGGCTAAGCAATGATTTCTATTTCTGTGGGTAGAGAGAGGACAAAAGATTTTTTCAAAATGGAAAATGTAAAGTATTTCCATTTCTAAACTGAGTTTTTTTCTGGACTTAACCCTTTTAGACTTAAACCACTGACCAAACTTCTTATTTCTCTAAATAAGAATGTTGTCCCTCTGAACGTGAAAGACCAGCATTACCAGGACATGCTCCCAGTTCTGCATCAGGTAAATGTCAGCTTGATCAATGATGAGAAGCTCAATAGAAGACAAAAAGTCAAAATCTCTCTTCTTCTCTCCTTCTCCCCCAATGATAGTCCTCAAGCCCAGAGGGGAGGCAATGAGAATGTCTGAGGAGTAAAAGGGGGCATAGAGCCGAATGCTTCTCTGAAGTATTGCCACTCCTACACAAAACATCAAGTACACATCAGCTCATTAGTCATTACCAATCCAGTACCTTCCAGGCTTTTCAGGCATCCCCCTCTCCCATCCTTCCACATCTCTCTATGCTCTCCTTAGCATATAACTGTGGTCAAAATGCTTTACTAAAAATAATAATAATAATAATCTCTCCCACTCACTTCTCAATCCACTGCTGTCTGTCCTGCTCTCAGGACTCTATTGAAATGACTTGTTAAAGTCCCCACAGCCCTCAGTTACCAAATCAATGGATACTTTTTAGGGCTTCTTCTCAAGAATGCACAAATGTGTATTAAACACATCCCCTCTGAGGTGCTCTTTCTTTTGGCAACAGGAACCATACTTTCACTTCTGTATCTCCAGCTTTTTTTTTTTTTTTCTGGTGGTACAGGGGTTTGAACTCAGGGCCTCATGCTTGCTAGGCAAGCACTCTACCACTTGGGCCACTCCGCCAGCCCTGTTTTGTATTGGGTTTTTTCGAAATAAGGTCTTGTGAACTTGGCTTCAAACTGCGATCCTCCTGATCTCTGACTCCTGAATAGCTAGGACTACAGGTGTCAGTCACTGGTGCCCAGCTATCTCCAGCCTCTTAACAGTGCCTGGCAGGCTGCAGATACTCAAAAAGTGCCTGTGGATAAGTACATGTGACTAAAGGACATTTTCCCAAGGACTTTATCAAGGTTCAACCAACCAAGTAATGAAAGCTAAATGAGAAACAAGCAAAAACAGAAAAACTGTGTGGGAGCCAATAAAAGAAGAGGAGATAATCCAGGCATTCTACATGGTAAGACAGGATGGAATCCCACCCTTAGGCACAGACATACTTCCAGCTTCCCTGAGAATCCCTGTAGCACCTGACTATGTGCTACAAACTTTGGGCATGCTAAATCATTTCTGTGATAAATGCACACAGCCTTGGAGACTCTCTCTACCCCATCAGCCAAGACAAACAAGACACAAATGCACACTGCGAGAATGACAATTTCCAGGCTTGTACCCTCCAGCTGCATCACAGGTCCCACTGTATCTCAATTCCAACATGGAGGAATTACCTATCCTAAAGTGATCATCAATGTTGCCCACAAACACGGCTTCATAATCCTCAGGCCTCTTCAGGTTCGGTGGTCTTTCATCAGGATCTGATCCATATTCTCCTTGAAACCTCTTTTTGTTGCTTACAATGATTTTCTTCTTGCTGTCACCCTCGAGGAGGCTGATGAAAAGCTGTATCACCCGTAAGGCAGCTTCCCGGAATGGTACCACTATCAGTACCTGAAGAGGAGACAATGAAAGCCTTGGTGTGGGCAAGGAGAGGAACAATAGCACCAGATGAACCTGGTGAGGAAGCAGAGCTCAAAAGCCCTATGCATAGCAGTGGTCCTTAGCCAGAGACCATGTTTATGTTACTACTTTTGCAGAGGGCCTGGTTCAGTATTAGAAACTGAGCAATTCTCATCTATAGCACCATGTACTGTGAACACTGGTTCCAGGACTCGACCAGACACAATTCTCAAGCAAAATTTGGAATATCTTTTAGCATAAGGCAACAGGTAAGTTCACCAGAAAAACTTTAAAGACATAAAAGAAGAAGGTCTTTGAGGGCAAGGAGTGTTACTTCCTCAACATTTAGTACAGTATTTTTAGCCATAAGATCTACTCAATACACGCTGAACAAAAAATTAGAATAAGTAAAGAAACAAAGAAGGCAAGAAAAAGGATTAACACCATTAAGACCATTCCCTACACCATTTTTCAAACTGTAATAGAGCATTTCTATTACATAATAAATACCATAACTCAATGGAAAAAACAGGACTCAGTTTTCCAAGTTTTTAAAAAGTACTTTAAGTGTTGGGTGCTGATAGCCCATGCCTATAATATTAGCTACTTGTGAGGCTGAGATTGGGAGGATCACTTTTTGGGGCCAGTCTGGGCAAACAGTTCAAAAGACCCAGCTCCAAAATGACCAGAACAAAATGGACTAAAGGTGTGGCTGAAGTGGCAGACCATGTAATTTTTACAAGTGTGAAGGAAGCCCTGAGTTCAAACTCTAGTCCCACCAAAAAAGAAAAAAAGCTTAAAGTTACTGTTGAGAGCAAAAACATAAAATGCTTAGTAAATGATTAATTTCTAACTACACTTTTGTAAACAACATAATCAATGGTCATAATTCCAGGCAAATCATGTAATTCACCAAACTATAAATAAGCTGCATGAGTACTCTGCCTCTTATTCTTCTATGTAATGCTAAAGGGAGAGAGATAACCTTATAATTCTGACACTTGACACTTCAAAGCAGCTACCAAGAAAAGCAACTAGCTTAGCCAAAGGAGTGAGTGACTGGTACAGTACAGGCCTGGGGGACCAAGATGTAAGAGGCCAGATTACTGTCCCAGTTGTGACACTAAACAAGGGTCTGGGTCTTGGCTTCCCCAGCTAGTGATTGGAGGCTTGACTAAGAAGTCTCTAAGAGCCATATCAGTATTGAAATCCTAGAATCCTATTAAGCTCAATGAGAAAAATCTAGAAAGATGAGAGTTCAACAATGTGGAGAGATATAGGCAAAGGGGGCAGAAGGGTCAAGGCCTAGCTCTGTAAGATCATGAACAGTGTGGACAGAATTAAGAGAAATGTATTTCCTTTTCTATTAAAGCCTCAAACCCACTAGAGCTTAGACTTAAGAAGACAAGTAAATGTCATCATTAAGCAGCAATAACTTTACAATGACAAATAGGGATTTTTTTTTTTCAAAATTTACTTATGTATGTGGCTTAGTGAAAAGAATCCTTGACTCTAGTTCCATCTCTGCTACTCTTTCCCTGGTTCTCTTTAGCAGTGCTTTCTATGAATCTGGGTCTCCATCCACAGCTATGATACATAGAGATTGGACAAAAAGTTCTACCAAATCAGGCTCAGGAGGACAAAAGTCACATGTTTTTCCTCGTATGTGGAAGCTAGACCTCAAAGATAAATGCATACACATATGCATGTATAGTCTTACATACATAAATCTCTTTCTTCTCTCTCTCATATGTGTGTGTGTGTGTGTGTGTGTGTGTGTATACATGATTAATACTGGGTCTGTCTGAGGGAACTGTGGGAGGCAAAAGGAGAAAAGAGAATGACAGAGAAAGAATGATGCTGAAATACATTGCATCTGTATAAGAAGAGGATATAAGGAAATGCAATGAAAGCTGTTTAATAATAAGGAATCAGGACAACAAAGAAAGAATAAGTAACAGAGAGGGGAGGGTTAATCTCTGTTACAAAGTAAAGTATAATATATCCATGTGTGAAATACCAAAGTGAAACCCCTTTGAACAATCAATATATACTTAAGAAAATGAAAATCAGTAAGGTAAAAAAGTCCTGTCCAGGGGAAGATACCAGTGGGAGTGGGGAGGATAAAAGGAGAGGGTGAAGAAGAGAGAACACGGTTGATTTACTTTATATACATACATGAAAACAGCAATGAAACCTGTTGAAATTGTTCTAAAAAAGCGGGGAGGGAGAGGAAGAAGACTGATGGAGGACGTGAATCTAATTACTGCAAGCACAGATGTAAATGTCATGAATCTCCTATACAACTAAATTACGCTAATAAAAAGGAGTTTTAGAAAAGTTACATCAAGCTCTAACAATCTCAAGAAAGAAATTTACAATGGGTTGTTATTTATGTATGTTTGGGGTTTATCTTTAAGGAGAGTATTCTGAAATATCATTTTTACATTTTCCATTCTCATAAATGGTCCCATGAGCTGTGGGCAGCACTTCCCTGATACCACCTCACCCACTCAATGTGCTCACTTTTAGGTTCAACCATTATTGCAATCAATTATTAGCTAAGTGCCTGCACTCAAGTATCAGCTAAGTGCCAGGCACCTATATGATATGCTTCACAGACTCCTTGAGGGCAAAGATTTCTGCTGCCACTCACCTTGGGCCTTGTTAGCCCTTGGTCCCTGAAGTCATCATCGTTGCCCACCCCAAGTTTCTGGCTTCGGCGTCTGCTATTGTTGCCTAGCACCTGGGCATTGGCTTTGAGGACATGATTAATCACATGCAAGCAATATACGTGGCGGATCTCTTCCCCATTCTTCAGGGCAGTCCTTTCTGGGTAGAACAGATCTTGGTAAGAATTCATAATTAAGAAGAGCTCTTTCTGGAGTGGAGTGAAGAAACTACTTGATTTTGGGGGACCAGAGAGGAACTGGCTATTGGTCTTGGTCCAAGTAGATGCCAGAGGCTTCTGGAGATGAAGCGAGTTTAAGTCAATATCCTTTGGAGGTTTAAATGTTTCCAACTTCTGAAATTTGGAGGAAAAGACAAGCTGGCCCAGGATGGGCCACTAGGAAAGACAGATAAAGAGCTAGGTTAGAAATGAATTAACAACACCCAACATCTATACAGTACTTTATAATTTACCAAGAGCTTTCATGATTTATACATCATCTCCTTTAATCCAACACAACCTCAGGATAGACAGTGTAGAAAATACTAAGCTCAAGCAGAGGTGGTAGAATCCAGACAAAGTTTGCACAGGAGGTACAGGACTTAAAGAGCCCAGGGCTTCTGACTTCAAATCTGAGCTCTTCTCACTGTTCTGTAGAACACATTCTGGAAACAGTTCAAATTCACTGTAGAAAAAGGGGCTTTGCGGTCAAATATCTTTGGTAAATATCACAAAACCTAATCATCCATATTTAGCCCAGAGACTTTCAAATTTGTTTGGGAATGAAACAAGTTTCTTTTTAATTTTTCTTTTCTTATTTTTGAGATAACTATTAGAATCTTCAGAATATCATGTTGTGGGAGATGAGTTTGAGAATTTTTTTTTCATTGTAACAGAACTGCTGACCTCAACAATAGAAAAAGAAATGGATACTGATAGCTGAACAACCTGGATGAACCTTTGAGGGACTTACAGAGTGAAACAGCCAATCACAAAAAGTTACATACTGTATGGTTCCAATGAGTTAACATTTTTGCAATGATAAATTATAGAAATGAAGACTAGATTAGTAAATCAGCAGGGGTGAGGAAGGGGAAGGAGTGCAGAGGGAGGTCGACATGGTTACAAAAAGGAACCAAGAATCCATTTGATGCTGGAAATGTTCTGCATCTTGCCAGTGGTGGTAGATAAAGGATCCTACACGCAGATGAATAGGTGCAAACTCAGAGAAATCTGGGGCTGAAGATGTTTCATGGTGATAGAGTATTTGCCTGACTACCAAAAACAACAACAACCAAAAAAAAAAAAGAGAGAGAGAGAAATCTGAATAATACATGATGTAGATGACACCTGTAGTTCTGGTACATGTCACCACTTGGGGGAACTGGGCAAAGGGTACAAGAGATGTCTCTGTATGACTTCTTACATCTGCATGTGCATCTGTTATTATTACCTCAACAAAAATTCCAATCAAAAGAGGATGACTATTATGGAACATATCAATGATAAAAACAAAGAAGCAAAACTGTCCAATATCTAAACAATTTAGTTGTGAACCTATGTAAGATATTTCAAATAAATGAACAATGCTGGTACAGGTTGAGCATTCCCAACCCCCAAATCTGAAATGCTCCAAAATCTAAAACTTTTATTAATTTTGGCCAGGCATGGTAGTGCGTGCCTGTAACCTCAGCACTCAGGAGGATGAGGCAGAAAGACCAAGTTGGGCCAGCCTGGGCTACATGCTGAGACACTGTATCAAAAAAGAAAAATTCATATTTTGGAGCATTCTTGATCTCAGCTTTTCAGCCTAAGGATGCACAACTGGTAATATCTATATAAATATTACAAAATCTGAAAAACTTCAAAATCTGAAATACTTCTCATACCAAACACTTCAGTAAAGATATACTCAGCCAAACACTATCAGTCAGTGAACAAAATTACTTTATTTCTGAGCATTCTGACAGAGCACTACTAGCTCTGTCTAACAGATGAGAATCATGAAGAGCAAACAGGCAGATTAACTTGCTGTAGATCATGTGATAACCCCTTACAGACACTGGACTATATCCTGGTGCACCTATCTCCAAAGTCACCCTCTGCCACCACTCTTACTACATAGTAAACACACTCCAGCCTCCACAGATCTTTTCTAGCTACTCCTGTGCCCCACCAGGCTCTTTTAGCCTTCCTGTGTCCCACAACCCTATCAAACCAGCTACTGCTGGGGTGTACTATACATTCCCGGAGAGCTCCAAACTCAAGACCACTGCTTCACTTAGAGCTCTCTCTATTTTTGACTGTGATGACCAAGCAATACTTACTTTTAGCTGGTGTGTATTTTTGGGATTGGTGGAAACAGCTTGAATTTCTTTTTCTTTTAGTTCTTTGTTCACGTGTTGCAGAAATGGATCTAATTCAGAATAAAGAATGTCAGCACACTTAGCATAACTGGTAGGGGATCTGGTCTTCCTCTATGTATGACATGCTGATCTTCACAGTGTCAACTCATTCTTCTTTCATTCATTCTTCCCATCTTCTAGTCCAGTACAAACCTTAACGTTTCTGGCAGGTTCTTCTTCCTAAAGGACTTCTCTAATCACATTAGTTCCCAGCTCAAAAACCTTAAAACAAACTTCTCAGCCTGAAATTCAGGGCATTATCAGCTGTGCTTTCAACTTCTCTCTTTAGTAATTTCTGAATTACATGGCCCTCATATTCTTCTGACTATGCCTTTCCTTTACCTCAATTTTGAGCAACCAAATAGTTATCAGTGTAATGTTACCCTCTGTGATAAGTGTTTCCCAGGGGCTACTGTGTCAAGCAGTGTTGGTTCAATTAAGAGGCTGTCACAGGCGCCTAGGACAGTTATTATTCTCTCCTCTTAAGTCTCCTACCTGGCCTCACCCACATCCCAACACATATATGGGCATGTCTTATCTAGTAGATGGTAAGATTCCTGAGAGCAGGTTCCATTTCTAATCAGAAATATATCGTGCACTGTAATACATATAGAAATTCTCAACACTCAACTGTTGAGCAAATGAGCCAATGATAGCACTTGCACTCTGGGTACTCACCCGTGCTTCTGCGCTGGCCACCCAACCCTTCTCTACCAGTCCCACTCATTAAGAAACAAAGCAAAGACAGTCAGGTGTGGTGACTCACACCTGTAATTTCAGCTAATAGGATGGTGGAAATCAGGAGGATCACAGTTCAAGGCCAGCCCAAGCAAAAAATTAGCAAGACACCATCTCAACAAAACAAGCTGGGTGGGCATGGTGGTGTGTGTCTGTCATTCCACCTACACAGAAAGCTTAAGTAGAAGGAATACAGTTCAGGCCAGCCTGAGTAGAAAAAGCAAGACTCTACCTGAAAAATAATTAAAGCAAAAGGGTGGTGAGGTTCAAGTGGTATAGTATCTGCCTAGAAAGTACAAGGCCCTAAGTTCAAATCCCAGTACCTTAAAAATAAATAAACAAACAAACAAATAAATAAATAACACAGCAGGCTGGGTGCTCGTGGCTCATGCCTATAATCCTAGCTACTTGGGAGGGAGATATCAGGAGGATCGAGGTTCGAAGCCAGCCTGGGCAAATAGTTTGCAAGACCCT